CCCGGCGGCTGCGAGGGGGGACCCCCAAGCAGCCGTGGAGGAGCTCCGTGGCCCTGCTGCCTCGCACGGGTAACCTCACGTGGGCTCTGAGGGAGAGACGGGGCTGCCGGTCTCGCATCCAGGCTCAGCTCCCAGCTCTCTGGCTGTACAACAGAGCCAAGAGCGCTCTCCGACCTTGCAAGGTTTTTGCAAGATAAATCTATTAAAGATTTAAAGACGCCAGCTCCCAGCTGCTCAATAAACCCCTGTTGATAATAAGGAACCAAGTGGGTCTCAGATAATGTTAGGGGTTGGTTTTTTTTTTTGCTTTAACCCACGCATCTCCAGGAAAATGAATGCAAAATCCAATTTACTGGTATCACCCGCAGGGCAGAACCCTTCCCCGATCCACCATGGGTGGGATTTGCTCCGAAAGTGGATCTACAAGGGCTAATTCGGCCACGCGAGCCGTCAGAGCAACGGGAACAGAGCAAGGAGACGGTGGGACGGAACAGCAAGAGGAAAGCAAGAGGTACCGTTGACGGTGAGCGTCACCTCCCGCTCCCCCGCGCCCACCCGCGGGACCACGGCTCGGCACACGTATTTCCCAGCGTCTTCCTGGCGGACGGACTTCAGGGTCAGCTTGTTCTCGTTGCTCAGGACCTGGAAGAGAGGAGGGGGTGGATTTCAGGGGGAGCGGTGCGGAGCTGAACGGGAGATGCGCGTTACGAGCGCCGGAGCAGCCCAGAGAAAACCAAGTGGGTGAGCCCGAAGTCTTAACGCGGCACGGAAATACCACTTATTGCTGTTGACCACGGAATAAAGAAACAACCCAGTTTTGGGGGGAAAATATAAGCCCTTTTTCCTATTCATTTGAATTTTTACAAACTCCAGCTCTGCAAGAAGTTCAAGACACAGGAGAAAAATCTCGGCGGCTGCGGTGACACAACTGCCTTGCAACCCGGAGCAGAAAAGCCTTCGAGAGAAGCACGCTCCACACTTGCCTTTCCACCTTTGCAGGGTCGACTCGGGGATTTCCGACCCAGCTGTGGTGGGAGACCAACCTGGAGAGCTGGCAGTGTCTGGGACGCGAAATCTCAGCTGCTTTTGGCAAGCCCCACCCCTTACAGACCGGCTGCAACGCGGCTATCAGTCACGCTGCCCTCCTGCCCCGGCAGTGCAATTAGCAGCTTTATTAAACCTCCAAAACTGCTGAAGCAGAGGGATCTGGCTGAGGCTGTCAGCAGAATCCCGGCGCTGGTGGTATTTACAACGCCGTGGCAGGTCGAAAACAAGCAACGTGGCTTTTGGAGCTAATTCCTCCCGGTTGCCCTGGCTGCTCTCCCCCAGGACTCCACAGGCTGGGGACCGCTGCTCCTCCCAGCATCCGCTTGCTCGGTGAGCCCCGGGCTCTGCTGGTTGCTGCTCCCACAGCCGATGCCTCGGGGAACTGGCGCTCACGCAGAGCCCTCAGTGGTGGTTGGATGTGGATCTGGGTCTCCCTGTAGCATGAAGATGGGGGGGGTCTCCCTCCTAACCTGGCACGAGGCGCAGACAGTGAGTTTCAGATCCCTTTTAGAGCCGCTGTTTTAGCATCGTTTGCAAATATCCACAGAATCATGAAGGTTGGAGAAGACCGCCAAGATCATCAAGTCCAACCGTCAACCCAACCCCACCACGCCTGCTAAACCATGTCCCCAAGTGCCACATCCACACGGTTTTTGAACCCCTCCAGGGATGGGGACTCCACCACTGCGCTGGGCAGCCTGTTCTGATGCTTCACTACTTTTTTCAGTAAAGAAATTTTTCCTAATATCCAACCTGAACCTCCCCTGGCGCAACTTGAGGCCAAACGCCTGTGCTTACTTGGCCTCCCCCTCTCCGGTCTCTGATTTGTTTCCTTCTGGGAAAGCAGGAGGAAAGGCGGCAATCCCGTGGGACCCCGACCTGGCCCTGAAAGTGGAAGGGTTGGGAAAAAAGCAGCCCTGATCCCACCTCCCACCGCGGCGGGGCTGGGGCTGGACCGCGAGGGTCAGGAAGCCTTCATCCCTTCATCCTCGCTGCGCACGGCTCCTCTCGGCCACCCTGCCCGCTCCGGCAGCTTTAGAGAAAACGAAACAGCAGTCTACGGCGGGAGAGTATTGCCTAGAATCGTAAAAAACCCTGAGAAACCACAACCACGGCTGCGGGATGGGAAACTGCCCGGGGATTATTGACCCCCTGGGATTCCTTAGCTGATCTGAGCCATCAGCTCTCCCCAGTCTGTAATTAATTCCCAGGAGACGGCCTTCGCTGAGGTCCTTACGGTTCGGGAAAAAAATAACCCAGCAGTTAACGCCTCGATGGCTGCTCCCCTCCTTGGTCCGTGCCCGGCGAGGAGAGCGACTCAGCCCGTCCGTCTGGCTCCCGTGCCGGTCCAGCTCTCTGCGAACACCTCGTCTTGAGCTGCGTTGCCTCCTCGACGTCGGGACGCACCTGCCCAGACGGAGCCGAAAGACGCTTTCCAAACCCAAACCTGGGTTGTGCCTTCTGGATGAGTTTCACCTCTCAGCCGTCCTTCAGCTCCTCACCGTGGCTTTGCTCAGCCCTCCTGTCTGGAAAGAGGGGATCGGAGCATCTCACGCCTCCCTGTGCTGAGCCATGATGAATATCTGCAAAGCTCCTCACGTTCTTCAGGACAAATGAGACGTGGGGAAGTCTGCTGCTGGGGTGAAGGCGTTAGGACGTGAGCTCTCAGGTCTGGAGGCCAGAAGGGACCATCCCAGAGAGGACCACACACAGGAGGTCTGCAGAAGTGCTGCCCGTCAGAGAGTGATGCTCTGGCCTCTGTTCAACCATCACGGGAATCAATTCTCCTTCTCTTGGGACTCCTTCCCAAACATCTCCTGCGGGCGAGGGCTGGAAGGTGGCCGTGCTGGGATTCGACGCGGCGGACAACCTGCCGCCTCGGTCCCTTGGCGGCGGCGATGGCGCTGATTTTCAGGAGTTTGGTTTTTCCCTTCGCCTCTCCCAGGTGGGACTCCAGGCCCGACTTCCCAGCCTGCCACCCGAATGCCTCGTGGATTCGCACACGCTTTCAGCCAAAACGTTACAATAAAGCCTTCAGTGCTTAATGCACTGCTCTGGGCTAACTGGGGACACTCACTCATGGTGGGAGCTGCTGCTCTGCCATGCCGTGTTGTCCCCCGCGTTGGGAGGAGCCTTGTAGGGCCAGCGTTTGTCCAGCCAGGAGCTCCCAGCGCGTAGGTACGGGCTCTGCTCCCAGATGGGGAGCTTCATGCAGTGTTTCGTGCCCCAAATGTGCCATTTCCCACCGCCCCGGCGGCGATTCTTACCACTCCTGAGCCTCGCTTCATCCAGACGATGGTGAGAGACGGGTTCCCAGTCCAGGCACAGTTGAAGACCGCGTCGGAGCCCAGGTCGACGAGGAGGGACTGCGGTTCTGTCGCCATCCTCGGCCCAACTGCACAGAGGAGAGCGGAGTTACTCGCAGTGATGGGCTGTGCCAACCAGAAACCCTCAAACCAAAGAGGTCACCGTGTCAGTGGAAGCAGCGGTGGGTCTTGATGGACCTATGGGTCACAGCCATGTCAGACCCCCAAATAAAGAAGAGCCTGAGACAGGTGCCTGCTGCAACCCCGCAATGACCAGTTCCCCAAGGACCACCACCACGACCCGTGCGCTCATAAGGCAGGACAAAACTACGGGTCCCACCACGAGAGCAATCACAAAGACTGAGCTGCAAGAGAGCCCAGCAAGTCCTGGTCGCCCTGGGCAAGTCAGATCTAGCCGTGTCCCCTTCCCGTTCATTTTCAGCAGCTCTGCTGGCCCCACGGAGCCCTGGGAAGCCATTCTCCAGCTGACAGATCACTTACAGTAGACATCCACGGTCCTGCTGATGTTTGTGCTGCCCAGCGCGTTGGTGACCTCGCAGGAGACGGGCTCGAAGAAGAAGGTGTGGTCCACGATGGTTTCGTAGAAGTCACCGGACGCTTCCTTTATAACCTGGCCTTTTTTCGCCCACCTGTTGAAGAAGAAGGAGCGTTACCGTGGTGCCGTTTTGCGTTGCTTGCCATCGACACGTGCGCCGTGGTCGCAGTGCTGGGGGGGCAGCGGGCCGTAGGGCTTTTGGAGGGACATGCGTTTGCCCTCGGCGTTGTCTGCCTCATCCCCAGGTTTTGGAGGTGACACCAAAGCAACGTGTATGCATATCCCTACCGAAACGTTTCCAAAAGAAAGCAAAATTGCTGGCTTTCCCGGGGAATCCACCTTATTCCTCAGGGTCCTCCAGGACAAGGGGCAATGGGCACAAACTGAGGCACAGGAAGTTCCGTCTGAACACGAGGAAGAACTTCTTCTCTCTGAGGGTGACGGAGCACTGGAACAGGCTGCCCAGGGAGGCTGTGGAGTCTCCTTCTCTGGAGATATTCAAGACCCACCTGGACAAGGTCCTGTGCAGCTTGCTGTAGGTGACCCTGCTTGGGCAGGGTGGTTGGACTAGATGACCCACAGAGGTCCCTTCCAACCCCTAACATTCTGTGATTCTATTCTGTTGTGGGGCAGGGGTGGAAGGACCCAAGTGACAGGAGGGCCGGGACATGGACAGGGATGGGGACATGCTGATGGGGAACCACAGTGCCAGGGGAGCAGCCCCTTTCCGAACGCTTGCCAACCAACACCACTGGTCCTTCGCCGTTGAGACCACTAAAAACCTTTTCAGCTTCCCTCCGCTTTCACCCTTTTCTTCTTCTTCTTTTTATTTTTCCCTCCAATCAAAGCGAACTTTATCCCTCCAAGGCAGCTGAAATAACATCACCCTGAAAAGCCACGCTGGCATTTGCAACACTGCAACGTGCAAATTGTCTTGGAGAGCAAGCTGTCAACTCAGCACTCGAATTAAGCCGCTGTTTGCCAAACAATGAGCAAATGTGACCTAATGGGGCACCATCTGGCAACCTGCCACTCTGGAGCGGGTGGGGAAGC